GTATGTGTATGCTGTGTGTATGTGTATGTGTGTATGCTGTGTGTATGTGTATGGGCCCATAAGCCACAGTGTACCTGTAGAGGTCAGAAGACTCCTGGTTGGGAGGGAGGCGTGTCAGTTTTCCTCTCTTACCACAGGGTTCCCAGGGGTCAAACTCAGGCTGTCAACCTTGGAAGCAGGCAATTTACTCACAAGGACATCTTATCTTGCCAGCCCCACCCACAGCTCTTATCTGGACCTCCATGTTCTTAAGACACCCTTGGAGTTACATACAGAAGCTCGTTTTGAAGAACATCTGGTCCAATCCCCTCATTTATATGAGGAAACCAGTACTGAGGGCACAGCAGAGCTAGAACCACACCCTAGACTTCAGGTAAGTCTGATCATCAGAGTGAGAGGATAGGTTAGCGACTCTGTGAGTAAAGAACAGGAGGCAAAAACAAACAAACAAACAAAACAAAACAACAGAAGGCTCAGAAAAGTAACGTGTAGGAAGGTCATGGCTGACAAATTCAGAACTATGTGTCCACATGCGCCCCGTCTCTAGGCCACCTGCCTTCTCCAGAGCTGCATCCCTGTTCGGATAAGTTCCCACAGAGAGTTCCAGCATCTGGCACATGGCAAACGAGGCCGAGTGCGTTCCCCTGGACTAAGTCAGCTGGGCTTTCGGCTGGGCTCCAACGGGTTCTAGGGAGCAGCTCCACCTAAGCCACCCCCAGCCCACACACTCCACCCAGATACTGCAGAATGAGACAAAAACAGACATCTGCCTTCTAGGTGTCAGGGCTTCTTTCTTACCCATGATGCCCCCCGACCCCTCAGCTTAGGCCTCCTCTGCACCCGCTTGCTCCCCGAGCTTCCCGCTCCCAGCGTTCTCTCTCCCTTCTCATGCTCTCTGCTGTCTAAGTGTACTGGCTTTAGAGCCAGCTTCTGGCCAGCCAGACCAGTCATAACAATCTCTCCTCTTCCATAGCAGCATATCGGTTTCTCAGAGTGCTTTTCTTGTCCCCTACCCCCCACCCCACCCCCACCTCCACCAACACTGTCTGTAGTCAAGGGTAGTAGCCAGTGCTCACATCCTTCATGGAAAGGCAAAGGGGAAGACCAGCTGGAGAGCTCAAATCTGTTTCCACTCAAGCCCTTAGAATTGACTGCTGAGAAAACATGCTGAGACCCACATCAGCCCTGTGGAGCAGCAGCTATGGCTGTGTGAGAGAGAAGGGAGCTACCCCACCCTCCCCCCTTCCCAACGCCTACTCCTCCATCACCCCTCACTCACAGAACTGAGAGATGCAGCAGTCAGCGCTTCTGCCCAGAAGAGGAAGACAGACTTCTGGTCTGAAGTAATTGCAGAAGTGATCGGTGTTTCCTTCATGTGACATGGAATACTGTAACTCCAGACGATGGAGCCAGAGCCGCCGTCTACCACTGTCACCTGCAGATGAGAAGACAGAGAGGATACAGCCAGTCCGTAGGAGAGCGGAGGACAGGAAGACACATGAAAGCAAACAGTAAGGCAGACATCCCAAGAGCGGGTGTAATCCTCCTCCACATTTGTGAGGCACGGTGCTCGAACACCTGACATGACACAGGGAACCACCAGATGCCAGGTCCCTTTTATACAGGGCAAGCATTTGCATGTAGTTATACATGTTCTCGTGTGTACTTAGGTCATTTTCTAGATCACCTGCAAGACCTATCGCAATGTAATGAATGTTGAATCAATAGTTGTTGCTGTACTATTTAAGAAACACTGAGAAGAAAGTCTGCAAGGGTTCAGTATAACAGTTTTGTGGCCATTTTCAGCCCATAATTGGTTAGCTTTGATCATCAACATAAAATCTAGGCTGATTGTTTTTTAAAAAACTAAAATTCTGAGTTGGGCAGTGGTGGTGCACACCTTTAATCCCAGTACTCGGGAAGTAGAAGCAATAGGATCTCTGTGAGTTCAAGGTCAGCCTGGTCTACACAAGAGAGTTCCAGGACAGCCAGGGCTACATGGAGAAAACCTACCTCAAAAAAAAAAAAAAAAGAACACAAAAATTCTCTAATTCTGCCTCTGACATTAACTGAATGAAAAATGACTCCCAGAGCATCAAACCTCCCTATACACAACAAAAGGCAAGGTGCAGAGCCAGCCCATGGTGAAGCATCCCTCAACCTGCTGCAGCACCTCTGTCTCTCAGTTCTGATCTTAGTGTTCCTGGCCTGGTACTCCTTGCTGTCTACAACATAAATCCAACCTTAAAGACCCTACCCATATTGCCTTCCTTTAGCAAAAGCCCCCCATATGCCCAGCCACTGAGTCCTGACTTCTCTGAAACCTGATTATGCTTGTATTGAAATACTACATCCATTTATGCCTACCTTTCCCTACCCAGATTTGTACAATGATTCCGCCCACCTAACTGGAAGTACAGGCTCCCGAAAGAACATGAGATTACTCTAAAAAAGCTGCTGTTTCAGATTTTAGCAATGATCTGTGAGTTTCCAATTTATCCATCTGCTGGACTGGAATTCTCTGAAGGGAAAGACCACGCATCCTGTTCTTATTCTTCCCAGTGTCCCACCCAGGGCTGGACATAGAGCTCATTCTTTCCAAAAGTTTTGATTGATTTGAGGCCTGTTTTTACCTTTTTTATCCCCTCTCCATCTTGTGTCTGCACAAAGAAGTCCAATGTCTGGTCATCGGTGAAATACCCAGGAGCGGGCTGGCTGCAGACAGACAAGGATGTAATGAACTTGTTTTAGATCATTTTAAGACAGGAAAGTTGCTCAGAACAACAGTCATGAAGAGTACTCTGCAAACCTGTGCAGGCCTTGAAGGTCCAGTTTCCAGTGAATCGTAAGATCTTGTCCCCTAAGCAGGACCAGGCTTTGTCTGGTTGTAATCAGGAGGCTGCTGCTGTTGGAATCTGGTGCCTTCACCAACTGGAGAAGCTCAACTCCATCACTACATTGAACAGAAACTCAACAGTTAGTCTCTGGTGTGGATGAGATGCCCATATCTGCTTATTTTGATGTTTGTTTGTATATTCAGTTTTCTCTTAGTGTCTGTGTGGGAGCTGGTCCCAGGACCTACTGCAGATACCAAGTTCACCTGCTCATCATCCTCACACTGAACGATACATTGTCTCCATACAACCCACATCCTCCTATGTAATGTGAACCATCTCTAGATTAGTTATAACTCTCAGTACAATGTATAAATAGTTGCAATCTACACCCTTTAGGAAATAAGGACAAGGAAAAACAGTCTACATATATTGGGCATATGCACAATTTTTTTCCAAATATTTTCAATTTGTAGAGGAGTGAATCACCAGCCCATGATAGGGACTACCAACTCTTCCTGGTTGGGAATCCTCTCTGCCTGGACCCTCTGGGGACAGTAACAGAGCCAAGGATAATGGCACAGAGTACAGACAGAGATGGGAACAAGTGGCCTGAAATTGTCATTAAGATTGGGCAATAACTCTTCATCAAATTATTTCTTTTTCTACACTACTGCAACTAATCCATCAAATTCACTAAAATAACTTGATAATACCAAAGGGGAAAATGTTATAAATGACTTGAAATTTCTGACAGAAAGGAATAAAAACAATTATTACCCAAGCCAAGAGTTATGTGGGTAAAATACATAGACCACTGCATATGACAACACAAGTTGAGAGGTAAATAAAAATTAAAATAAGATTTCATGTATCCTATTCCTGCTCGGTCACAATACAGGGAAGAGAAGTCGAAGCTTTCCTATAGCTTTCCAGCCATTTTATAAATATACACTTTAGCTGTTCTAATTCATACCATAAGTTAATATCAATCCTTACACACTAGTCAACCCAAACTCAGAGACCCCCATGGTATATGAGTCTCCAGAAGACCTCTCTGTGGCCAGAGAGCAGCCATACCTGTAAACATCAATGAGCTCAGAAAGGTTGACAGATCTGTGCTTTTCCCATTCCGGCTCTTCTATCTGCAGAGAGGGTGGTGAGCTGTCTCGATTTTGGGCCTGAACAAAAATGTCCCGCAGGGCGACAGCTCGAATATTTCCTAGTGCCACAGGAAGAGTCAACACTGAGAAGCTGGGTTTAAAAGAACTCCCCCAGGCTATCCCAGGGTGGGGTTCTGGGCGGGAGACACAGAGCAGATTCCGTGGGTCCAGCAGAGCCCACTCCAGCTGGTCCCACTTGGAGTGATGGGAAAATGATCAAGCCGATGCGGGCAGTCCCTCTCCAGAGACGGCATCAAGGGAAAGCAGAGTTAATGACCTGCAGTAGGGGAGAGGCCCTATAACAGGAGACGAAAAAGAGCCAACACCAGCAACCCCTGTCTCACAAGAGGCCAGGGTACCTACACCAGGGGAGCAGAAGCCAAAGCCAGCCCTGCTTCTTACCAAAGCCAAACAAGATGTAGACAGCTCCACTGGCAGTGATGTAAACCTGGGGACCAATCAGATTCCCCACTCCCACGACATTATACTTCACAGGTCGGCCCACAGGACGCCCTGTGCGGCCGGATACCAGCAGGAAGCACAGATCTGGCTGAAGAAAGAAAAGAAAGGCACGTATTAATAGGGGCCTTTCATTTCTGAAGGCCTCATGAGCTAAGGGCTCAGGAACACTTCCTGTAGTTGGAAAGCACAAAGCCTAACTTGCTTGCTTATGCCCCCTAGAGATAAGAAAAGGGGCAAATGTATACTCCCTGATTAGATATGTATGAAGAGTATCTTTAGGATTCTTCAGATGAGGCACAGCGGTTGCTGACTATGTCCTCACCTAAAGATCAAGAGCTAAATATAAGATACTGACACAAGGGACAGTCTTTATTCTATAACCAGTTTCTACCAGCGAGATTCAGATGATCAGCTTGATAGGGATTAGAATCACCAAGGAAACACACCTCAGGGTGTCTCTGAAGACGTTTTAGGTTTAACCAAGTAGAAAGACCAACCCTAGGATATGGGCAGCTTCATCCTATCAGCTTGGGGTCTTGACTAAATAAAAATAAAAAAATCAGGGGCTCCGAAGAAGGGTCAGCAGTTATAAGTACTTGTTGTTCAACCATGAGGACGGGTGCTCCAATCCCAGGACTTAAGTCAGGCAGCTAACAAATTCCTGCAACTGGCTCTATAGGTAGGATCAAAACACATCTGCCTCCCTAGGACGCTCACATACACACATATGTGAGCACAGGTATTCCTGTCTCCTGGCTTCCTGACTGTGGATACAATGTAACAGTGCCTGGACCTCCTGCCGCTGCCATGCTTTTCCTCCCATCCTGGCTTTTCACACTGTAAGACACAGTGAAACCTTCCTCCCCTCAGCTGATTTTGCTGAGTAGTTGATCTCAGCAACTGCTAACACACTGGTGCATGCCTGTATCAGCTAACACACTGGTGCATCCCTGTATCGGCCCATAGAATTCTCCTATAACATCAGATAGATGTCTGGCCTGGCCACTGTCAAGTTCACTCTCAAAATCAGCAACGCTTTTCTGCGAGTGGCCAGTTAGTAGATACCATAGGCCTCTCCTCTCCAGTTGTGTGGTCTCCATAGCAACTACTCTTTACTCTTATCCTAGCATGAAATCTGTCACAGGAAGAGCAGGAAATGACTATGCTCCAACAAAAATTTTATTTGGGAAAACCAACAGTGGGGAGAATTTAACTCACTGGCCATGGTTTATTAGCCTGAGCTCTAAAGACTCTCTTTTTTCATTTATTTTTATCGTAGTGTGTGTATGTGTGTGTGTGTGTGTGTGTGTGTGTGTGTGTTGACTATATGCTATGTGTGAGCAGGAGCCCTTAGAGCCCAGAAGAGGGCATCAGATCCCCATGAACTGAAGCTACAGGCAGTTGTGAGTCATGTGACATGAGTGCTAGGTACCAAGTTCCAGTGCTCTGAAAGAGCAGCAAACACAACCACTGAGTCACCTCCCAAGTCCCCTCAATAAACTGTTTGTCCTAGTTTATCATTACGGATTCTTATGGAGAAGACAGTCTGGTTTACAGCACACCCAGAAAACAATGACTTATTCCATCCACACCAGAGGGGAGTGTTTAGGGGAAGGTCATGGCACTCTGCTATTGTACAACCTAAAACATCCTTGTCAAAGACCGCACGACTAGAGTAAGTGTATTGCAGAGCAGAAACACTATATAACAAACTTAATGCCCTAAAAGGCCTTAGGTTGGAAGATGAATGAAATTTGTAAGAAGAAATCATTTTACCCATTAATTGATTATGGTGGTTTGAATATGCTTGGCCCAGGGAGTGGCACTATTAGGAGGTATGGCCTTGCTCCAATAGGTGTGGCCTTGTTGGAGGAAGTCTGTCACTATGGTGATGGCCTTTGAGACCCTTCTCCTAGCTGCCTGAGAGAGTCAGTCTTCTCCTAGAGGCCTTCAGATGAAGAAGTACAACTCTCAGCTCCTCCCGCACCATGACTGCCTGGATGTTGCTATGCTCCTGCCTTGATGATAACGGACTGAACCTCTGAACCTGTAAGCCAGCCCCAATTAAACGTTGTCCTTACAAGAGTTGCCTTGGCCATGGTGTCTGCTCACAGCAATGGAAGCCCTAATTAAGACATTGATTAATGAAAAGATATGAGCTCATTCACGGACTATAAACAAGGAGCAAATGTTAGAAAGTCTTCAGCTACAAAAAGAAATTGAACCTGCATTAAAGAAGTGATGGTATCCTCAGGTTGAGATAACCATGAACAGAGCTCTTTGCCGTGTTAAAGACTATATGGACAGATGGGGCTCGAGGGAAAAGGGACTCCCTGTCTTTGAAAGGACTGTATAAGACATGGATATTTAGCCTTTGGGGTTACGGGCTTAGTGGGACCAGGCCAACAGTCACTGGGTTTAAACTAGGTGGAGGTCAGATTCACTGCAAGATGCCAAATGGCACTGAAGCAGGAACAGAGAATGGAAGATGTGAGAATCAACACCTCCACCAACACTACAGCCCTCGAGCTGATTAGCAATGCAATGGACAACAGTCCTGAGGTGATTAGCAATGCGGTGGGGCTCACAAATCAGTGGCATTAGCATTATTAGCCTGGGGGCTTGAAAAGGGTACACACAACCATGGGTCTAGGCTCAGACTCAGACTGACACATAGTGTGACCGCAATGACTACAGGCTTCTCAGGTCCCTTCTCCATAACATTCTAGACGAGACCAGTCCCCACATACGAAAGCAGGCTCTTCTGCCAGGTCCAGCTCATACCCCTCCCAGACCTAAGGACTCCTCTACTCTTAGGTCACAGTCCTAAATATACTTATTCCCTCCCTTGTGTCTGTGGCTCACACAGTTCCTCACATTCGTCATTGCCTATAATCAAGGCAGAAGGCAGAGGTGGCCAGTAGGCACTGCCCAAATCCACTGCCTCTCCAGAATATCCCGTAACTGTCACTTTCAGACAGGAAGGAGATTGTTATATAATCCATATACTACAGCTCAAACGAATAAATTCTGCGAATCCAGCTGACCAACAGACAAGGTAGAGACAAAGAGTTAAGAGCAGGTGACTCCTCTAACAAGGGCCCTGTATTGTGGAGGACCTCACAAGCCTGGGCACCGCCCTTCAACACCACTGGGCCTAAGAAGCAGACGGGTCATTAGGACTAAGATTTCTGCTAGTCATGGTGGTTCACGCCTGAAATTCCAGTACTAGGGACAAAGACAAGATGATAAAGACGGTCAGAAGTTTAAGGCAAGCCTGAAACACGCAGTGAGACTCTGTCCCCCAAAATCTCAAACAAAAGAACCAAGCTCTCCAAATGCACAAGAATACGTGTGGTGGCCTTGCCGGGCTGTGAGACCTGGGCTCCCTCAGAAAGCGGTTCCCCACACTCTCACACTTTCAGAAAATCACTTCCTATCGCAGGAACAAAGCCCCTCCCTCCCCACTTCCTCCCCTCCCACTCATAGTAGCTAGGATACAAAGTTCAAAACCACTGTGTGAGGTGGCTGCTGGGATAGATCAGCTATTCCTGAGGTCCTGAGTTCAATTCAACAACAACCAGGTCTGATGCCCTCTTCTACCCTGCAGGTATACTTGCAGACTCATACATAAAAATTAACTATTTAAAATAAAACGCTAGGGGCTGGAGAGATGGCTCAGCAATTAAGGGCACTGGTTGCTCTTCCAGAGGTCCTGAGTTCTACTCCCAGCAACCACATGGTGGCTCACAACCATCTGTAATGGGATCCGATGCCCTCCTCTGGTGTGTCTGAAGACAGTTACAGTGTACTCACATAGAATAAATAAATCTTTAAAATAAAATAAAACACTGTGTGAATGATTACTGTATCAGGCCAACCTAGAGACTAAGCAGAGCCAGGCAAATCTGAGTCTGAGGCAGGGCTACAAAAGGAAACTGTCTCAAAAATGAAAACAAAGCAGACTGAGCCAGTGAAATTGATCTTTAAGTTAAAGGCTGGGCCAACAAGATAGATGGTTCCTCTGGATATACCTGCAGAGGACTCGAGTTTGGTTCCCAGCACCCATACGGTGGCCCGCAATGATCTGTAAGTACAGTCCAAGGGGATCTGATGCCCTCTTCTCATCTCCAGGGGCACCAGGCACACATGTGGTACACAGACATATATGTAGGCAATGTGTTTTATAAAAAGATAAGGAGAGAAGGAATATGTTTGGTGCAATCAGGTATGTGCAATCAGGTATGTGGGCAGGGGGTGCCTCTGCGGGCCCATGCTGAGGCATCCCTTCCCCCGGAGGGACCAGCCACCGGTATAGTATAGAATAGAGTTTATTCGGGGCATGGGAGGGGAGTTGAGGGGGTAGTAGAGACAGAAAAAGGCAGAGAGAGAGAGTGGTGGAGTAGAGGCCAGCTATGAGCATGTGGGAGGGGAATGGGAGGGGGGAGCAGGAGCAAGGGGACAGAGCAAGAGAGCAAGAGAAAGAGGAGAGGGCAAGCAGCCCCTTTTATAGTGAGTCTGACACACCTGGCTGTTGTCAGGTAACTGTGGGGCAGAGCCTAGACTAAATGCCAACAGGTAAAGCATCCATATGTACAATAAAATACATACAGCTTTTTGTTGTTTTGTTTTGTTTTTCAAGACTGGGTTTCCTCTGTATATTCCTGGCTGTCCTTGAACTCACAGAGATCTACCTGCGTCTGCCTCCCGAGTGCTGAGATTAAAGGCATGCACCACAACCACCCAGCTGCATATAGCTTAAATTTAATTTGCAAGCCAGTCATGGTGGCACATGCCTTTAATCCTAGTACTTTGGAAGACAGAGGCATGCAAATCTAGGTGAGTTTGAGGCCAGCCAGGGCTACATAGTGAGATTCTGTCTCAAAAAACAAACAAAAATTTTTTTTTTTTTTTGGTATTTCGAGACAGGGTTTCTCTGTATAGCACTGGCTGTCCTGGAACTCACTCTGTAGACCAGGCTGGCCTCGAACTCAGAAATCCGCCTGCCTCTGCCTCCCAAGTGCTGGGATTAAAGGCATGCGCCACCACCGCCCGGCCAAACAAAAATTTTAATTGAGATAACTACTCATTAATTTGATCTTTGCTGAGACTAGAGAGAAGGCTTTATTTCATCTGTGTGCCAAGCAGCTGCTCCACCGTGACTGAGCCAAGGCTTTGAGAGGCCTCTGTCCTGGAATCAAAGTTTATCTTTCTTGGGGGGGGGGGGGAGGGAGGAAATTAAAACACTGCATTACTGTGGCATACTAGACAGACTAGAACTTATCAAGCAGTCCAGGCTGTCCTCGAACTTACAGCAATCCCCCTGCCTCAGCTTCTAAGTGCTGGAATTATAGATATGAGTTAACACATCCACACTGAAAGTCTGATTAGTTTATGTAGAGGGAGGTCCCAATTGCTGGATGGAAGGTACAGGTGGGACTTCCAGGTCCCAGGAGGAAAAGGAGACAGACGTAAGGAAGGAGAGTGGTGGTTCTGCCATGCTTTGGAGGAAGAAGGGCACAGCAATCATGTGAAGCCTCAGGGGGCAGCTAGGGCCTGTGGCCTCCGCTATGGGTAGGTGGCCCAAGATGTTTGGCAGGGGCTAGGTGGAACAAGCCACTAAGTTTAGGGCAGGAGGAGAAACGGAGATAATAAATTGGTAAGGGCACACTTTTCCAGGCGGGGATAATCTGCGCCCAGCAACTGTGCCTAGTAGGCAAGTTAAAAGGTAACAGAGCTGTGTGTGTGTCTTTAATCTGAGGATTCAAGGGTCTTGGGAGTGGCTGGTAACCCGACCCCTTCCGAAGCAAAGAAGGGTAGACTGAGAAGCCGGTTAGGGCTGGAGGCAGCAGATCCCGGAGCTAAGACTGGTATAGCAAAAGGAGAGCAGGGAGGGGCCAGAGCTCTGTCCAATCCTGGAAAAGGTGGTAGCGATTTTTAAAACTACACGCCACAAGTTTAGACAAGTCTCAGTGTGCAAGCCAGCGTCACCTGGAACTTTCAAACCTATTGTGTGCTGCGATTACAAAGGGTAAGCGCTTGTGATTTTGTTGTTGTTGCTGCTGCTGTTGTTGTTGTAGGGTCTTGTGGGGAAAATTTAAGAAGGCCGCCACAGCGGCTTCCGCCGCCCTGGCGGGTCCCACATTAGGGAGGGAGATCCTATGGTTCCAGTGGCCTCAGGGCCTTGGCGGCGGCAGGCCCCAGTAACACGAGGAAGTCCTTGGTTCCAAAAAGATTTATTGTCATGGCGGATAATAGATGGATCTAGGCGTACCCCCCCAAAAACTCAGGGCAGTCCCGAGTTATATAGGGAGGGAGAAAGGGGGAGGATTGGGGGAGGATCTGGGGGAGGCATGTTTAATTTGCTCTGCCCTCTGGCCTTCATTAGTATGTAAATCCCTAGGGCTAGAGGCCTATAGCCTGGCCTATGTGACTCTATGGAGACCGTGACTGCTTTTCAGGATCCTGGATGATGGGGGGGACCGAACTCCTGCCGGTTCTCACGCAGAATTCCACGAGAATCTCGGGGTTCTAGGCACCTGCTCAACCATGACCCAGGATACCCTTACACAGTCCCACAGGGTCTCACCACACATGTGTCAGGCTAATCTCAAACTCACTGATGTCCTCACAGATGACGAACTTCTGATCCTCCTGCCTCTATTTCCTGAGTACAGGAGTATTACCGCCACACCTGGTTTATACATTTCAGAGGACCAAGCAAGGGCTTCATGCATGCTAAACCATCACACTGCCAACTAAGCTGTATCCAAAACTTGCCTCTTACGGGCCTTCTAACCATCCATCCTGTTGCTCTACAATTGAGGTAAATTTTAAATACATGCAATACAGTAAAGCTAACATTCCGTTTAGCTTTGGCGTAGAAGGCATGCAGTTTTCTAGGGACTTAATTTGTTAGCTCTAATTTTCATAAGTAGTCTACAGGAAGAGATAACACTTTCTCATTTAGACATGTGAAGGGACTAGAACGTGGATAGGATACAATTTGCCCTGAGTCACAAAGATGCAGAGTGGTACAGAAGGAACTTACACACAAGCCATCCGCCTCCAGAGCTCTCCTAAACCACAGTCCTCAGAACCACAGTGTATCATACGAAATGAATTTGGAATATTCTTGGTTCACTTAACCTCACCAAGAGAACCTATTTCGGGCTAAACCATTGCAACAACAAGGTCCTACACAGCACTTACAATAACCATCACTAGGGACCGTACCTGCGATTCTCCAATGGTCAGCACCACCAGATCTCTGACCCCATCTTCATCCAGGTCTGGCAGCACCACAACCGGAGCGGCCAAGGTACCGTTGGACAGATCGTTTGGGTTTAGAGTCCAGAGGACTTTCCCTAGGGAAGGAGACAGAGGTAGACCATAACTTCCACTTTCTGTCTCAGCAAAAGGCGGGTGCAGCATTCCTGAGCCAGAAGAGGAAACTCGACGGACGGCTGGACAGGAGGCAGCAGCTTCCCCCTACATCTTCCCATTAGCTTTTGTCTGATGACAAAGAGAGCAGGAAGTGGGATCTGAAATCCTCAAACATCTGGCTACACAAGCATGTAATAACTTCACATCTGGATGTTAGTTTATTTACTTATTGTCTTATTTTATGTGTGTGACTGCTTTGCCTGCGTGTACGCCTGTGCACTGCGTGTGTACTGATGTCCCGGAAAGTCAGCAGTGGGCATCAGAACCCCTGTAACTGGAGTTACAACTGGTTGTAACTGCCCTGTGTTGCTGGGACCTGAAGCCAGGTCCTCTGTAAGAGTAGCCAGTGCTCTTAACCATTGAGCCGTCTCTTCAGCCCTACACATCTGGATTTTGTATATCACATAGAGACGTCTATGTCCTCCTGGCAAGTAAGAGCTCACTCTACTAGGCCTGTGGAATATGTCTGTCACAAGGCATTGCAGGCACTAAGGAGCCCATGCCAGAGAAACTGCAGAAGGCTTCCACGGACTTCAGTCCTGAGGTAGGACGGTAAGTGCACACTGAGGATTTGTTTTAAAGATAGACACTCATATATCTCAGGTTGGCCTTGAACTCACTATGTACCCAAGGGTGACCTTGAACTTCTGATCCTATTTCTACCTCTTAAATGAGTGCTGAGATTAGAGGCCTGCACCATTATGCCCAGTTTATGTGGTGCTGGGAATCAAACTGGGGGCTTGGTGCATGCTAAGGAATCTCTCTACAAATCGGGGTGTATGTCTGTGTGTGTGTGTGTGTGTATGTGTGTGTGTGTGTGTGTGTGTGTAATACATAATCTTTCCCCACTCAGAGGTACCCCACTAGACAATCACACCTATAACTCCAGCACTTGGGAGGCTGAGGCAGGAGGATCTTATGAATTCAAGGTCTGGGGTATAGTGTAAAACCATGTCTCAAAAAGGAGGGAACAAAATTAAAGCACCCCATTACAGTACCTCTGATGTGGGAAGGATGTTACTATTCAACTTCTCTTGAGACTACGGCCCATAAAATATATTATATTATTATATTATATTATATTATATTATATTATATTATATTATATGGAGATATCTTTTTCATACTAGACTCATGTTCATCACAGTAGGCCTGTGGATAAAACAGGAAAGAATCTAATAGGCCATAGCAACACAAGACTGAGAGTCTTTTCCCTAGCATCCAGCCAGGACCCAGGTTCACAAACAAACCAGCATAACTCAAAGACAAAGAGGTGACACTCCTGTCACTTGCTGTACAAAGACCAGAGCAGAGACACTATTTACAACCCAGGCCCCTAGGCAGTGTCTGTTTGAGTAAGAGTTTATTTAGCCCTGTCTTATCACCAAACAGGTTGCAACAAGAATCTACTTACTCCACCCTTCCCAGCCCCTTGTCTCTTACCCTTCTGAACCAGAGTAACAAAGCAGTTTCCAGCCTGCCAGAGGATGAACATCTTCCCCCTCCCTTTTCCCCCTCAAGGGTGCTCAAATCCAACACTGAGGCTCACAGAGGCAGCACTCTGCACGCTCAAGGCCACTCTTTACCTGACGTCGCATTGAATGCACTGAGCATCTTTCGAGTCCCTGTCACGAGGCAGATGGTTTTGGCCACGCTTCCTGGTATCAGATCTAAGCATGTGACATCTTGAGCCTCCTCTGGGAGGGGACTGGACCACAGTGTGCTGCCATTCATCCCCGAAAGGCACACAAGATCGGCGGTCGGTTGTGAGCCACCACCTGAAGGCAAGTAAGAGAAGTGAGGGAGGTGTGGAAGAAAAGAGTGGGGGAGGAGCGAGAAAGCCAACCATGAACGAGAGGTGGGCGGTGAAGGAGCAGCTCCCACTCGTGTGCCCACATCCTTCCCGTGGTTTCTGACAAGGTGTGAACACAGAACTTGTCATCTTGCCCACCTCACATCTCGTGTAGAACAAGTGTAAGACCAGCCGCTGTGGGCTCCTCTAAACTGCCTCACCGTGTCTCCATTTTGGCACCTTCCCTAACGCATCTGTTCACCTGTCTGCCACCTTAGCCCACACCAAACAGTGGCATCCTTACGGAGAGACAGCAATATCTGAATCCCAGCATCTCATGAGATGCCTGCTACATAGAGCAGCCCAGTTGTTTGCTCAGGGGTAAGGGTAGCAAAGTGGGTGGGGAAAGGTATCTGCTGCCAAGGACGGAGACCTGAGTTCAGTCTCCAGGCCCCAGCACTATTCCAGTATTCCCGCACAGGAGAAACAGGAGAAGGAGAGAATCAACTCCTAAAAGTTCTTGAGTGCAACAGCCTGGAAGTCAGGCTTCCACATGTGTTGTTACACGCATGTGTGCACACAACACACACACATAAACACACACACGCTAAATAAATAAATGTAATTTAAAAATCAAAAGAAAAGGACAGGAGCAAAATCCAGAACAGCGTGTACTAGTTGTTGAGGGGAAACAACAGAGCACAGCACACAGAAAGCTCCTAATGGTGGTTATTGTTGTGGTTTGGGTGAGACATGTCCCCAACAGTCTCTGGTATCTGAACACTCGGCCCCTGGTTGGTGGTATCATTAGGACATTATGGAACCTTTAAGATATGAAGCTTTGCTGGAGGACGTATGTCACCAAGGGAGGGAGGGCTTTGAGAACTCATTGCCAAAAAGAAACTCTTTTGTAAATTGTTTTGGGTCATGGTATTTTGTCACAGGCAGAAGCAACTAATATAGTTACATTGTTACTTTTACGACCTGTGGGCAAATCCTGTTTGTCTACACAGTATCCAAACCTTCAGTCTTGTCACTATGCATCTTGATATGGAACAAAACAGGTAAAATACCAAACAACTTCAGCATCTCTAACCTTACTTCAAAGGTACATGAGTCACAGACCAGGAAAAGGCTACTATCACATGAAGGTCTACTCCAAAGCCAGAAGCTTTCCCTGTCACAGAGTTTCATCTGTACATCCAACATGCTTCTGAAAGGTGTTTCAGTGAAAGTGTATCTACCTGGACACTCACTCTGGGCCTAAAGGATTAAAACACACTTGCTAGGATTTCTTCCCATTCCGGGTAGGGTTCTTACATCAGCTGACATACCGTAGTCATGACCAGTTAAGCAGATATTGCAGGCAAATGAGGGCCCTGTGTAGCTATCATGGAAATGAGGCATTTTTCCTTATTTGTTGTTGTTTAGGTTTTTGGGAGTTTGGGGGGTATTGTTGTTGTTGGTTGGCTGGTTGGTTGATTGTCATGTGTAAGCTACGGAGTCTTTAATAAACAGACTATTGACAGAGATGTGTCAGTGTTAGTAATCTGTTAAACTCCACCTCCACAGTCACCTGGCAACAGCCAGGTATGCTCCTCCCCAGAGTTACCTGGCAACAGGCAGGTAGCCCTGCCCACTATAAAAGGGGCTGCTTGGCCCCTCCTCTCTCTCTTGGTCCTGAGACCCCGCCTGCAGGTTGCCATCTCCCCTCCCCCCTTCCCTTCCCCCTCTCTCCACGTGGTCATGGCCGGCCTCTACCCTCTCTACTCTTCTCTCTCTCCTCCCGCTCTCCCACTCTCTTAATAAACCTCCCCTCATGGAACCCGCTAGTCTGCTGTGATCTGTTACAAGCTGCGCTTGACCTTTTAGCCAGGGTGTAGGACCCCACTAGTGTCAGTAAAGGCCCTCAAAGCTGTTAATGTTCCCAGGGACAAAGGAGGACAAAAAAGAAAGTCCTGCTTGAGACCAGCTCTGACCAGTGGTCAAGTTCATTGCCGCCCTGCTCTAACCCCAGCTGCAAGGAAGCAGGGAAGTGAGCGGCTTGCCTCAGTCTCTCTCACAAAGGCTAGGGAGCTGGTAAACATCCTCCATGTTGTCTAGCCTTCCCAAGGAGGACAAACCTGGGGAATTCAACTGAAAGGGGAAAGGAAGGCCACCAGCACACTCATCTGTGTGCAAAGATGTGAGTGATGACTAGCCCCGTAAGGATGGGGAGAGCAGGGTAGAAGCAATGTTCACTATAACCAGGGACAGTGGAAAACTGGCTGGGGAGATGACTCATTGGCAAAGTGTTTGCTACAAAAGCAAGAAAGCCTCCGTTCGATCTCCAGAACCCACAGAAAAAGCCTGGAGAGGTGGCACAGTCTTGTCATCGAAGTGCTAAGGAGGCAGACAGGCAGCTTCTGCAGGTTGCTAGCCAGATCCAGGCCAGTTCGAGAAGCTGTCTCAAAACATAATTTGGACAGTGTTGAGGGTTGGTCTGGCGCTGCGATGTATTCAAACGCTAAATACCGGTCCCTAAGATCTGGTTGCCCCCACTACGTCCAACTAGCAGATTCTCTCATACCCCAAGTGATGCTTCGTAAACATTGCTCCCCAGTTTAAAGCCACTGGTTAAATAAAAGTGGCTACAGCCAATTACCAGGGAGAACAGAAGTAGGTGGAGTTTTCAGTTACTGAGCTGGGGTCACAGGTAGAGACAAAAAAGGAGAAAGAAAAGGAGGAGGAAGAAGAGGAGGAGGAAGAAGAAGAGAACAAGTCTCCATTAGATGTATCAGATCAGCAGCACTTGGCCGAGTGAAATGCCCCCTGAGGACAGGCTGATAGAGCAGAAATAACCCAGTAAGACCCAAACAGCAAGTACTTGGGGAGCTCAGCTGGGGAATTAACAGTCTAGCATTTAAACAAACAGATTAGGGCTAATCCCCCAGTAATTGTGCTAAACTGATTAAATAAATCCATAGGACTCTGCCTCAATTATTGGGAGCCTGGTCAGGTCATATTAATAACTCATAGAGTTTATTAAAATCCATTTACAGGACAGTTCCTAAGCAATGACACCTGAGGCTGTCTCTGCCTCCCCTCGCACCAGACACACACACACACACACACACACACACACATCTAATTACTAAGGCTGTCACTACAAACTATGGGCAAGTCACTTCTCAGAACTGATTTGTTTCTTCGCTGACCTAGGTGGCCACTCAAAGTCCCTCCAGCTAGGACTCAGTCTCCTTCCTTCTTTCCTTCCTTCCTTCCTTCTTTCTTTCTTTCTTTTGGTGTGTGTCCAGGGAGGGGTACACTTTGAGACTGGGTCCCTCTTAACACTGGCTGTTCTGGAATTCAGTATGTAGAGCAGGCTAGCCTCAAATTCACAGAAACTGGCCTGCCTCCACCTTCTGAGTGCTGGAACTAAGGGTGTGCATGTGCACCACGGTTTCCTGGAACGATCTTTTATTTTGATATAATCTTTACTGACATCAGGACAATTCTGATGAGGCAGATTATGCATGGAGACCTACAGCCACCTGTCCTCTGCAGACCTTGTGCACTGACTACTGCTTTCTTATGGGCTGATGGTTCTCCTGTGGCAGCCTCCAGAAGCCGAATCACTTACCTCCTTCGGTCCCGTTCCTGGTTGTCACAAAGGTGAGAAGCACGTCCCGCAGGCCATCCCTATTCACGTCAGCCAACTCCAGGGGAGACAGGTCCCCGCCTGGCGTACACATAATGAAACAAAAAGGGCCTGAGCCAGTTACCACAGACTAGTTCTTTTCTGCCAGGTTAGAAAGAAGACAGATGCAAATGCTGCCAGCACCCCTCCCAGCCCAGGTGGCCTGCATGTTCCCAGACCAGACTGCAGAGATATGCATCTCCCCTGACGCCTGGCCAGAGCCCTGAGCGTTATACATATTGCAAACAGAGACAGGCTCTGAAAGGAGGGGACAGTAAGTCAGCTTGACAAGAGATTGCAAGACCTAAGGAATGGTAATGTATGGAATTCCCTGGGGTTTCTGGCCACATTAGATAAAATGTAGTGAAATAACCACAACTCAGAAATGCTATGGTGCACTAAGGAACTTGCTTCCCAGACCAGAGGCCCAGGAAGGGTGCAGCCTAGCAAGGCAAATTGATTATAGATAAACAGCCCCACCCCCACAGCAAAGGCTGCAGAACCTGACTTCTGGAACCTTGTTCTGGCACCACCATGGCACCACCCACCAGAGTCAAGGCCAAAATAGCCACCAGGGCTGGGGGGCAGGGGGGGACAGCTGGGACTGCCATCCCACCTGCAGTGGAGAGGGAAGTCTGAAGCTCTACCCACCCAGCCCTGCCCTTCCTCCTCAGGAGGCAGCAGAGGCCTGTGCAGAGCAGAGGTAAGGGAGGGCTGACATCTCTGTGAGCTCAAAACCTTGGTCCCCACAGTGAGTTCCAAGCCAGCCAAGGCTACAGTGAGACCCTGTCTCAAAAAACAAACTCACTAAACTAAACTAAACTAAATGAGATCAAAACCAAAACTACTCGGAGGGAAACTTGAGTGTACTAACATATGAAAATGTACAGATTCGTTTCTTAAAATCCCGCAACTCACCTCCTTGGGAGCCCAGGCGCCGGCTCCAAGTGCTATGCAGGTCTCTGGGAGGGCAGGGGATGAGGAAGGCGCAGAGGAGCACCAGAACCATGGAGATCACCAGTGTCAGCAGGAAGACAGATGTGCGCACATAGGACACCAGGGAAGAGGTGGCCTTCTGCTCCAGACCTCCAAGGGGTTCCGAGGGGAAACCCTCTGGGGTGACTTCTGAAAGATGTGGCTTTGCAGCCCCAGCCACATCTGCATCTGAGTCAGGCTCTGGCAGGTCTCCCAGGGCACTCTTCCCGTTTTTGACCCCTCCGTTCTTCTGTTGCAAGTTAAGCACGAGATCATCTTCGCTCTCATCACTGTCGGCCTGGGTGAGGGGGTCGTACTCGCCAAGGTCTGGGCTCTTCTTCCCTGGAAAGACAGACAGAGATGGAAGCAAAATTACAACAACAAACCAAGCTTTACATCATGTATACTGTAGTGGCCTTCTGTATAATTAGGTGGCAGGGGAGGGGGTCAGAGGGAGTCCATTGTTCTAGAATTATTGTCTTTCAGGGTGAAGAAAATTGAAAAAGTAAAACACATTGTGTTAACCAAAATAAGCCAGACCTGGACAGACGCATGCTGCATGTTCTCCCATGTGGGAGCTGAGACAATAATCATGAGAACAAGAGAGCCAGGCAGAATGGCTCACGCCTTTACTCTCAATGCTTGTGAAGCTAAAACAGAATTGCCCTGAGTTTGAGGCTAGCCTGGGCTACAAAACAAGATCCTAACTCATGGACTAGTGATATGGTTTGGTTGGTGAAGGCAGTTCTTGCCAGTCCTGAGACCTGAGTTCAGTCCCCAGGGTCCACATGATGGGAGGAAGACACTCACTTCCATGAGCTGTCATCTGACCTCACTCCCATGCTGTGATGGTTTGTATATGCTAGGACCAGGGAGTGGCACTATTAGAAGGTGTGGCCTTGTTGGAGTAGGTGTTTCACTGTGGATGTGGGCTTTAAGACCCTACTCCTGGCTGCCTGGAAGTCAGTATTCTGCTAGCAGCCTTCAGATGAAGATGTAGAACTGTCAGCTCCTCCTGCACCATGCCTGCCTAGACGTTGCCATGTTCCTGTCTTGATGATAATGGACTGAACCTCTGAACCTGTAAGCCAGCCCCAATTAAATGTTGTCCTTATAAGAGCTGCCTTGGGGTGGGGGTGGAGGTGAACTATTCTTTAAAAAAAAAAAAAAAAAGAAAGAAAAATTAAAAAAAAAAAAGAGTTGCCTTGGTCATGGTGTCTGTTCACAGCAGTAAAACCCTAAAAAGACACATGTATATACATATAGTTTTTTAAATGTAACAATAAAAAAATCCTGTCCCCAAAACACATAAAAGGAGGCAGGGGTACATATCAGCTTAAGATGAAATGCTGGCCTAGCATGCACAAAGCCCTGGGTTTGTCCCACCACCACATAAAACAGGCATGGTGGTGAATGCCTCTTATTCTGACACTTGGGAAATAGCAGCAGAATCTGAAATTCAAGGTCATCCTCAGCTTAGTGTGACGCCAGTTTGCTACATAAGAGATTCTTGGTTTATTAAACAAAGGAGGAGCTAGAGATACGGCTCAGTGGTTACGAGCACTGCTTGTCCAGAGAACCTAGGTTTGATTCCCAGCACCTACAAGGTGGCTCACAACTAGGTGTAACTCTAGTTTTAGGGGATCTGCAGCCGTCTTCTGACCTCCTTGGGCACCAGACATGCATTTAGTACACGGGCCTACAGATATGCAAAACACCCATACACATAAAATAAACACTTTTCTTGTAAGAAAAGAACAGAGTTACCAGCTCCAGTTGGATAGGAAAATGACTTCCAACGTTCTATAGCACAATCCATAACTATGGTTGTTCCTGTGGGTTCCAGGGATTGAACTCAGGTTACTGGTCTTGGTGGCAAGCACTTTTACCTGTAGAAGCATCTTGTCAGCCCAAATATCGATACTTCTTATTAGCTTCTTATTTGATTGAATGTCACTAACAAAGATGGTCATGGCTTTAATTTTTTAAATTTTTACTCATTTGTTCATGTGCATATGCATGTATTCATCTATAAATTTGAGACAGGAACTCACTATTAGCCCAGGCTGTTTGAGCCTGTTACCCTCCTACCTCAGCCTCCCCGATCCTAGGATTATATGCGCACACCCCCACAGTCAGCTCTAGGCTCTGGCTCTTGAGTCAACTTTCCTTACACCTAGTCTGTTCCCGAGTTAGATTTTCTCAGAGCCATGAGGCGTGATTGTTCCTGATAAACTTCTAGAACAATTCTCTTCTGTAATGCTGTCTTTCACAGAGTGCCTACAGTTTCCATGTTGTTTCTATGGAAACAAGTTAGCAAGTTGAATACTACATGCCAGCTAAAGAGGTTCAACAGAACCTCACTTCTTAGAACTGTCCTGTGATTTGAATATCCTTTAAGAACAGCTTTCTGTAAAGGTGGAAAGACTGCTATTCTGAGCATGCATCCTGGGAGAGGTGGCAGTCCCCAGGAACACAGAGGTGGCAGATGGCCTGCACCCTGCTTCTACATAGACTCCGAATTGATTCTAAAGGATAAATTACAGAGAGGCTTGGGTGCATGCCCACACCGACTCCTGGCTCTCGGTGCAATGACCTGCACCCTCGTGTCAGACTATGGCCGAGAAAAAGTTTCCTCTTTGGAAACCACCTGACAAGCTAGGACTAATGAGAACTACTGTTAAACCTTTAACTCAGACGAATTAAAAGGGGAAAGGCAGTCCAGCTAGTGCTGAGGAAGAATTCCTGGTACAGGTCTCTGTCTTGCTGATGCCGCTCAGGACATTACTTCTGTGTGCATAATACACAAAGCAAAACAGGAAAGCAGACACGGAGACCAGCTATAGAGTGGTGACATGGAGTGTAGCGCTTAGCACTTGTGTAATAAATTGCTCATTAAACAGCTTCCCACAGGATCACTGTACAGCATTTAGCACTTTCCAAAAACACACCCTACACCAGGTAATGTGGTAATCAACTAACTAGGACTCTCTCTTTATTTTCCTTGTCAAAGCTAATCATTATGTACAGCAAACATCAAACTTGATGTTTTGTTTATTTTCAAGTTGGGTCTCTCTTACCCTGTGCCTTGACTTTCTAAATGCTGAGGTGATAGTTGTGTGCCATCATGCTTAGCTTGGACTTGATTCCCCACCCCATCCCACTCCACTGTGTGTGTGTGTGCGCGCGCACACACACACATTTATCTCTGTGAGAAATATAGAGATCAGAGGTCAAGTTTTGGTATCTCCCTCTCATTTTTTGAGACATGGTCTCTTACTAACAACTGAGCTGATCATTTTGGGCTAGAATAGCTGGCCAGCAAACTCCCAGGATCTTCCTATCTCAGACTCTAAGCACACTGGAGGCAGAGACAAAAAGATGGAGGACCAAAACAAAATTGAGGCTAGCCTAGTTTACATATTGAGTTCTAGGCCAACTGAGACAACATGGTAAGCTCATAACCATCTGTAACTTCAGTCCCTGCAGGTCTTATGTCCTCCCCTGGCCTCCATAGGCACTGCATGCATGTGCTAAACAAACAAACATACATACATACATACATACATACATACAGTCTTAGTCAGGGTTTCTATTCCTGTACAAAATATCATGACCAAGAAGCAAGTTGGGGAGGAAAGGGTTTATTCAGCTAACACTTCCACATTGCTGTTCATCACCAAAGGAAGTCAAGACTGGAACTCAAGCAGGTCAGGAAGCAGGAGCTGATGCAGAGGCCATGGAGGGATGTTACTTACTGGCTTGCTTCCCCTGGCTTGCTCAGCTTGCTTTCTTATAGAACTCAAGACTACCAGCCCAGAGATGGCACCACCCACAATGGGCTGGGCCCATCTTTGATCACTAATTGAGAAAATGCCTTACAGCTGGATCTCATGGAGGCATTTCCTCAAAGGAGGCTCCTTTCTCTGTGATAACTCCAACTTGTGTCAAGTTGACACACAAAACCAGCCAGTACACATACATGTAGGTAAAACACACGTGCACATAAAAGAAAGTTTTTAAAAGCAAAGAAGTGGCTGGAAAGATAGCACATCAGTTAAGTGTACTGGCTGCCCTTCCAGGTTTAACTCCCAGCAAGTGCATGGTAAATCACAACTGTAATTCTGTAATTTCAGTTCCAGAGGTTTCAATGCTATCTTTTGACCTCTGAGAGAGCCGGGCACACATGTGGTTCACAGACATACATGAAAACAAAACACCCACATACATAAAATACATAACTTTTTCCCAACACAAGGTTTCTCTGTGTAGCCCTAGCTGTTCTGAAAGACCTGCTGTGTGTCTATAGACCACACTGGCCTCAAACTCAGAGATCCACCTGCCTCTGCCTCTAGATTGCTAGGATTAAAGGTATGTGCCACCACTGTCCAGCCTGATAAATAAATTAAAAAAAAAAATACTCCTGACAATCAAGAAAACATATCAAATCTTGAAATCCTGGGGTGAAATTTAAAAGTTCATATAGTCCCTGTTTCAAACTGTGTCTCCTTTTAAACATCCAGCAAGGCAGTCACGTGGCACCCAGCTGAATGTGACCCCTGGTCTCTGTCTACCACTTGGGAGGCCAAGACAGGAGCAGCAGGAGGTCAAGGTCAGCTTCAGCTACACAGTGAGTTCACACAAGCTTGGGCTACATCAAGTATTCTCTTACTAAATGAAAAGGATTCAGCTGTTCTCGATGTAAGCAGCAGTTTTGATCACTTGCTGGCTATGTGTGTCCTTTCTTATTTTTTTAAGATTTATTTATTTACTATATTTATGAGTGCACTGTAGCTGTCGTCAGACAGACCAGAAGAGGGCATCCAATCTCATTACAGATGGTTGTGAGCCACCATGTGGTTGCTGGGACTTGAACTCAAGACTTCTGGAAGAGCAGTTGGTGCTCTTAACTGCTGAGCCATCTCTCCAGCCCCATGTGTGTCCTTTCTTTTCTTAACTCTTTAGGGCCCCAATTCTCCATTTATAGACTATGATAATTATCATTCATATCTCCTGATTGTTGTGAGGCTTAGGTAAGGGCCATACAGATGGCACTCAGTGCCTGGCTTATGGTCATAATCAATTTGACCCTCTATTGTTATTGCCTAAACATGTCAACAGCCTTTCCCCAGCCTTCTCGTCTCCAGGTTAGACCCTTCCCCCCCACCCCATCTTCTTTAGCCCATGACTTGAAGGAAGAGCTTCGGGTGACCCTTCTCTGCACACAATGTAGCATGCCCATACTTTTAAAAGTAGGTTTTCTGGAACTGAAGGAAATGCAAGGGTGTGGTCTGGCCGCAGACAGGACAAGACCATGCCATCAGACTCCAGATAATTCACTG